TTTGTCCTCCCCTGTCTCCCAGCAGCAAAAGATTCCTGTTGGAGGTATTGATGTGCGACCTGGAGGTGGACAGATCCTCAACCTCATTAAGGTGAGGAGACGTTCTGCAGGCAGCCATTGTTCCCCTGGGTGTGCATGTGGGCGACAGAAAAAGGTGCGTTAGCACAAATGTACAACAGGTCTACATGACTAATTCAATTCCCCTAAGTTTATGTATTTTTTTAATACATATATATTTTTGTATCTGCTGTCCACAGAGATAAAACTTTGTTTGTGTGGGATTTCCACTTGGACAGCAGCATTTGATGTATAACAAAACTTGAACTGGTGAAATTTGTAAGATAATTAAAGGTCTTGATTTGACTTGTAGTATATAAATTTAATCAAAAATACAATAATATATAATTGTATTTTTGATTAAATACAATAATTTGACGGATATATTCAGTCATATCTTTTTGTTACTTCTTTAAAGATTTTTTTTACCATTCAGATTTTAATATATTTCTTTAATACCAAACACAAAACCACATTCGTCTTGCCAACTTCAGTTATAAAATTGATCTTTCATGACTAGAAACATTTCCCAACGGCTGCTGGTGGAACTTTGGTTCCTGGAACTGGGCGGTCTGGTCCGTTTGGAACTACAGTAAGAGCTTTGTCCGCATTGTTAGCACAAAGTCAAACTTGTTTTCAATCCAGGTTGTTTAAGATGTTCATAGAAAGGATTTCAAGTCCTTAAATAAAATTTTCTGAGCAATGTTACTATGTTATCTCTTCATCAAAGACTAATCCTCAGAGCTGTGGTTTCCAAGTTCCTATCTTCTGCTACCACACTCAGCTCCTTCAGACTAGCCAGCAGCAATTAGCAAACACCTGGTGGAACTGCACCATTATACGAGCTACTTCTCAGTGAATCTCTGCAAAAAGGGTTAATAGTGGAGCCATATTGTGATGACTTCCTCAAGGTGGGGCTTCAGAAAGAGCAGACGTTTCTTAAAGAGACAGAGTCCCAATTTTAAGGTGTTAAATTACAAAGTCCAATTTTGTATTATTTGATAGATACAACATTTTGATTACAACTGAAAATAAAATAATTACTTGATTATGCTATAAAATGTCACTATGTGGCTGGAAATTACATACTACTACCCCTTGGAGAGGAAGATGACTCTTGATGCATTCAATACATAGAAAGCACATATTGAAAAGTTAAGCTCAATTTGACAGAAAGTACTTGTATTAGTACACAACTATTCATCTCTTAACAGGACTATAATAAAACCAACAGCACCAGTAATTCCAGTACAAATCAATATTCAACACATACAAATTTTAACACGTACTTATTATGGCCATGAACATCAATCAAGGCAGTAAAAACATGTCATTTGTGCCATTCAGAGTTGGAATCGAACCTGCCCCAAGTGAACAGGCTTCAGCTGTTCAGTAGGATGTATGTGGGTGGCGGAATAAGCAAAGGCTCACAGGGCATTACTTTGGTGCCGGTTGTTGCCAGATGGGCCTGACAGCAGGGCAACGGTCAACCTGCCAAGGCGGATCACAGCACCAGACCAAATGACGTGTTCCTGTCCCTCCTGCAGCCAATGTGGTAGCGGACCCACAAGAAACGTGACTCTGGCGTGAGCTTTTTTTTTTTTTTTTTTTTCCAAACAGAGAAATTAAGGTGTTGTAATGGATGTACAGTTTGTTTGTTTGGATCTCCATTAGCCATAACCATGGCTACTCTTCCTCGCGTCCACATTATTATAATAATACATTCATTACAAAGACACTTGATACGACATTGGCAACAAAGCACACTTAATGTACAATTGCAACATTTTGCAGAATGAAATAATTAAGGAAGGCTCTTGTTAAAAGCTTTAGATTTTGCCATCTTTAAAACAGATTATGGGTCTGTCTGGTCATTTGAATACAGGAGAAGTAAAACAAGCTTTTAAAGAACACCTTGTATCAAAACTATGTAAAGACTGGCTAAATAAAATGTATTTTATCATAGAAACTGCAACTACAACAAAAAAGCATGAAAGGCCCATTTCAAAGTTCTGTTTAGCCAAGGGTCAACTTATGCTTTGTGCATGTTGATAATATTTGTGCATATGGATCAATTAAGCTGCCCTATTCTAGAAGAAGGAAGACGTTTGTGTGATAAAGAACTCAAACATAATGAAAATTTTGATCATAGTTTTGACCATTTTTGTCTGCAGTGTTGTAATTTTCAGTCACATTTTGCTGCAGCTAACAATCCCCCGACCGCGCATACACATGACCGAATCAGCTCCAACTTCCTGTCGAGGTGTTTCTGCTGGCTTCCTGATAGACAACCACCAGCTGCACTGACCCACGTCGGAGTGTGTAGTGGGTGGAACAACGTGTGTGTCTTGTGTGTGGGTGCGTTCGGCAATCTTCGGCACAAAGCTGATCTTTGTTAAGAGTGTGAAAGCCAGCATGGCGGACGGCAGCGTGTAAGGTCTTTGTGTCTCTCGTCCGTTCAGCTGCCATTTTTTTATTATTTCTTTTCTGGAATATATGTCGGAACAAATATATTATTGCAAATTATCACACTTTTTTTTTAAATGTACCTATTTTGATTTTTGTTTCATAGCACATATCTAAAATATGAATGATAATCCAGCTTGGGAAATTGTTGAGGTATATTTCAACTGTTCCAGGGCGTCAACTGTACTGCACTTTAAAATTGCGTGCCTCCAGGTTGCAAAGGTGACTGGAAAGGTTCTCCTCAGCAAAACAATAAAGGGACAACAAACTGTGGCTGGTGATCGATAAATACAAGTGACCTCATTTTACAGACCAGGGCAGCTTCAGGAGATACTCAGGTCTTAGTCGACTCTGACATAACTTCAGTCTTCTATGGATTGCATGAAGGTTCCTGCGTCAATAGCGGCTCGTCTTTGTCTTTTCCATTTAACTGGAGCGTGGCAATAGAGTTCTCCCATTCTACAGCTGTTCCAGTTATAGGATTACGCAAACAACAAGAGCACAGCAGTGCCTATGATGGATGAGAATGAATCAGATATTGGACAATTATGGCAGATTCTGCAGATAGGAAGACTTTTAATGCCTCAAGAAACAGGAAAATTATGGAGGGCCTACATCAATATCCGTGCCCACACACACTCATACTCACTCACTGACGCTGTTATCGGTGATACGATCTGTCCCCAGGGGATCACTGCCATTGGCTCATGTGTCCTGCTGACATTGTCTGAACATGGCTTGGTAGTCTGAACAACACATACGCTGTAGGAATGTGACAAAGACGGTGACTGTGGGGAAGCTAGAGCTGCTGGGGAGCAAGGATGATGAACACAGTGAGGAAGGTACAACTGGAGGACACAGAGAGAGAGAAATGGAGAGAGAAGCTCGAAGGATTTTTAATTAATGTCTTGTGGATGGCTTGATGTAAATCCTGAACACACATAATATGCATCTGTTGCTGCAAGAAAATCCCTTAGAACTAATTTCACTGTTTTTTTAATCATTATTATTATTCCTCACTAATTACATTTCTCACTTTTCCGCCCCTCTCGCAGATCAAACAAAAATAAAAAAACATGGTAATTTAAGCCATCATTCCAGAAACAACCATGGTTTTCATATTGAGATTACTGATATTCTAACATGGCTCCCAAGGCAGGATTCTTTCCCATGGGAAATCTGCTACAGGTTATGGAAGCTTATGAATAGAAAAAAGAAAAATTGAAGTCGGGAGAATTTTCTGTCTACAATGGAGGGATAAAGTGCTTTCTCCCTAATGCCTAGTTCACACTCCAAGATTTTTATACTATTTTTTTGTCCTGATTTTTCCGGCAATCTTCCAATGTGTTCTGATTATGGGAATGGCTCTTAAGATCATCTCTAGAAACATTCCTGCTGAGTGTGGTGCGTTCGGAGTGATCTGCCAAAACACTGCGTGGTGTCCAAATACATAAATAATTTGTTTGACAAAGCCATGTCCACCCCACACTGCGGTGCTGACTTCACCATTGATATGCCCGAATGGAAACAAAGACATCAATGAAACACCTTAACATGCACACAAAAATCCAAACCGCTAATGAATCTTTGACCTGTTGGACGAACCCCCATTTGCTACATCCTGGCTGAAAGACTATAACAAAGAACATTGGTTTGATGCCCTTTTATTACAGCAGTAATAAATACCCAACAAAAGTCAGGAGAATGTTGACGGCATACTGAGCTTAGCCCAGACATCAACTGATGAGAAGAACCTCTTGGTGGCTGTGGTGGAAACCCTTTTTAGCCTCAAACACCCCAAAACCCCAAACCTTCATGTGATCACTGAATTTACGCATTCCCTTTACATCAATAGAAGAGCAAACAGTTACCAGACCACACTGCGTTAGCAGGAGACACAATCCACCCCCCAAAAAAGTACCCAAGCCAACTTGTCATGCAAAAAAGAAATTGATCTTGAAACTTAACAAATGGTTATGACACTCTTGGCCTCAGTAGATGCCATTTGAGGTCTTTACAGAATCCTTTTAATTCAGCCACATTTATTAAACTTTGATAATCTGAAATTTAACAGAAACAAATGGAAAGGAGAAAATACTGTTTTACAGCACTTTGCATAAGACATCTCATCAAACAAACTAGTGGCAATAATAAAAGTGAGTTTGCATGAAAACATTGCCGTCCTTCTCATTTAATCTTTTTTAATTCAAGCATTTCCTTCCTTATATTGGTTCCCTCTGACCAGGCGTGATCTACTATCAAAGGAGCTTCTCAAATGACTCTAAATAATGAATTCAATTCGATGAATGGAGGCGCAGAGCGGTCAGCCTCTACCGCCCCGCCTCACCGGATCAGTCTGTCGAGCGAGCCAATCCGACCCTCCGGTCGTGTCTGACACTTCCCACTGTCTCCTCCTCCTCCCGCCTTGCGTATATAGTCTGAGCATCGACATCACAACACAACCCAGGCAGGCTGCTGAAGAGGCGAGCCTGTGCTGGCAGCAATCTTCCATTGATGGACAGACAAATAGCAGGGTGAGTGCGTCCTCTGTCTCATCACCTTTCGTGTTTCACCTCGTCTATTCAGCCTCTGGTTTTGTAAAAGTCACAGGTTTGACTTGATTTGTAAGGTTATTTTTTTATGTGTCTTGTGCTATTCTCTCCCTCTCTCTCTCATCTCCTAGTCTATTTTCAGCTCTTTTCATTCTTCTCTTTCCTGCTGCAGATAAATGCTGACAGCAAACCTTGTGAGTAAAAACACTAGAAGCAGCTTCAGAGAATCCTGCTGCTACGTCAGAGTAAGCAGTATAGTGGCATTCAATACAAGGCGCGCTGACAGGACCAGCGTCAGGCAGCCGTTCTCACTCTGCTCCCCAAGGACGGCACCTCTGGGATGGGCTGCTCCTCTGGACGCCAGCCCCCGGCTTCGGTCCTTCACCCAGACCTGGACTTTGGCAACACCGGTGAGGCCAACACGTCACCCCAAGACTCCGACAACCAAACCCAGAGCCTGAACGGCTGCGGAGAAGGAGCCGACGGGGAGGACAGCCTCGGACGGGGGCAAGCCAGACCCCCGGAGTCGCTCCACACCCTGGAGAGGCTCACCCAGGCAACGGGCGGCACGGAAAAGTCCTGGTACCGCTGCGTCTTCCCGTTCGGCGTGATATCGCTCGTGATAGGCATGGCGGGCACCGGGGTGACATTCACCTTCAACACACTGCCCCAGACTAAAGTGGTGTCGGTTGCACTGCTGTGCAGCGGCGTGTTGATGCTGCTTGTGGCAGCCGTCTGTTGGAGGGCCCACAGACTGAGGAGACGGAAAAAAAAGGAAAGTGGATTCTTCACTGCTGATCAAGGCACTTTGTGACAGAGCGGGGACTTCTGCTGGACTGTCACAGAGCTGCAGACGGGTTTCCACTCAGCACTCACTGATGAAGACTTGAACAACGCTGGTATTATTTAGACGGGGGCGCTTTGACAGATAGTAGCAAGTATGAAGTCACTTTTCTTATTATTGAGGAGTAACAACTCAAGAATTTCCTGATGTGAGACCCCAGCAAAATACAGTATAAACACAGATTTAGTTCTAGTTTGTATACTCTTAAGCAGTCAGCTGCTGTACAGACGTCCCACCACAGTCAGGGTGATTAAGAGTGATGGGTGGTGCCTCGGTGCAACTATCATTTTTTTTGACTGGAACCATTTCCACGTCAACAAATCTGTCTTTCAGGACGGTGATCGCAAGAGCATGCAGCAACAGGTGTGGGAGGCACTGTGCTGCCGTATTTGATTTTGGCTTCTCCTTAAAAAGACTTAAACAATTGTGTTGACATTTTTGCGTAACTGCCCCATGCCGAGTTAAGAACAGAGACAGGAAGGTATTACTGGGTTCTTCTCTCCCGCTGCCCACTTTGGGTTTGAGGAATGCTTTCATCAAAGGCGCCTCGGTAGTAGCAGTTTATTAAGTCATCATTTTCTCCCTGAAGCTTTACGTGAGACGGAACAATAACCTTTGAACCTTTGTACTGCCAAGAGTAGAAACATCCACCGGTCAAATCTAGTGTTTGTGCTCCGGTTTGACAGTGTGAATATGCAGCTGGTTAAGGAAGAAAAAGCAGCATCGTTTTTTTCTTTCACTACAAATGGAGCTGAATAGTAACAAGAGCTCATAATGGCAACATTACTTCACTGCTAAATGAGTTTCCTTTCACTACAGCGCAGTGAGTTTTCCTCCATGGGCTACTTAGAGTGCAGTGGTTCATTAGGAGAAAGCAAACAGTCGGGGGCGGGGGGGTTGTGTTGTGTTTTTTTTCACATTTACAGATGTCATAAAATTTGGCTAAACAATATGCAATACGCAGCGCATTTACTTTTTCTGGAGGATTATTCAAATTTCTGTCTACAGTGTAGTTTCATCCGTCCATTGTCTCTAGCCGCTTGTTCTAGCCGCTGGTGCCTACCTCCAGCGGTCAGTGGATAAGAGGCACGGTACACCCTGGACAGGTCACCTGTCCATCACAGATCAATCAAACAAGCATTGCCTTTATCTCTCATCATCCATCTTAACTCTCAAGTAATAGGCTTTTGTCACTACTGGAACTTTTAATCTAGTCACTAATGATGTATACAGTCTATATGGCATGGAAATCCCACTACAGATTACTGAGTTCAAACTGATCAACAGAATGTGGATTTCTCCCTGAATGTGTTTATCTAATGAGGGAACTTAAAGAAGTTTTCTCTTCAAGTCTCACTTTTTTAAAAAGTTCTCATTCTGGTTGCGGTTCATTCTCTTCATATGTTTTTAGCAAGGTTAAACCCGTCATTGGTCATTATCTTAAGTTTGCTTATTAAATAGGAGCTTGTTCCTAAAATGGACTACTTTTTTTTTTTTTCATTTAAGTCTCATTCACAAAACAATTTTGTCTTTTAGTGGCAAACTTCCCTCTAGTAGTTTGCAATTCAAAAACAAGGAGCACACTCTAGAAGCTGTACACAATGCAGTTAGTAAGTAAGTGAAATCTATTATGAACTAAATAGCTAATAAATAAACCATCAGTATAATGGAAGACGCTAGTCAAAGTTAAAGTCTCTCAAATGATGCTCCGCACTGAGGCATTCCTGGTGTGTTTTCGCCTTAAATTCTTGAATCGGTGTGTCACATCCTGGAAAAAAAAAACAACGACAAACCTTTTCATAAGTCAACCTGTACATCACAACCTAATACTTACAGTGTGCTTAGCATCTCTCCAAACTTAAACATGAATTTAAATCCTAGCAGTTAAAGCTATGTGGGCCACATGATGCATAAATGACAATGGTAAAGCTAATGAGCTTCTAGCTAATTTAGCTAATGTGAATCGATTTACTAAATTGTTCCACAAGCACCTACCTTACTTACCTGTAATAATAATACACCTAAGTATGTCGTACAAGAATCTGATCTGTGGAGAAAAGAGTGATACACCTGCTCTGTTCTTGTCGAGCTAATATGTAGCATTCAAGCTAGCTATGGTAGCATACGGTCACTACCAGCAGTAACGGGGATTTGAGATAGACCCAGCAGTATCACATGAGCTCCAGAGTTTTTATTTTATGGATGTCGTTGGATAAATATTGTCTCTCTGATCTCATCTTTTGCATGAAATATTAGCACTTGTGGAGAAGCAGCTAGTTCTGTGTGTTATTAGCAGTTTCTTTGAATTTTTTTATGGTTCTTTGCAAATCTGTGTGGTATAAAAGGAATTGATTTGATGACAGTAGTTCTCTTTGGAGACTGGGTGTTCCTACAAATTACATATCATGGATCTATTGTACTACTTATTATCCATAAGAGTGTAGCCACATTTATGAATGTCTCTTTAACAGTGTCTTATTACCATTCTTGTATTAAGAGTAAAAGCCCTGTGTATTTTTAAGTGGAAATATATTTTGTAATGTAGTAGAGAATATATTTGAGGCCTTTCACTGCTATCCTTATATTTCTATTTAGGATGTCTGGTTGTAATGACTGTAAATTTGTTCATCTGAATGTTAAATACACGTTTCATTCCAAAAACGAGAATCTGCCATTCCACTCAACTGCTGCATATAAATATGAAGACTTTCATTTGCATGGAGGACATAATTACCTGTATTTATTTACTTCAGAGACCATGAACTTTGGAACATTTCAGTTTTGGAGTGAAACGCATCAACTGGTTGTTGTTAGCTTGCTTTGAGTCTAGCAGCATGGTCAAGCTTATCTCTCAGTGCCTTTTTTCTCGCTATTTAAAAGGTTCTACGTGAAGTGCAGTTATTTGTGAGCTGTGGAGGCCGACCGGCGCCGGTGTTAGCGTAGCCCAACAGAGAGGCAGGAATACTGCGGTGTATCCAGTGAAAGTCAGGTTCGAGTCTGTGGAAGTGAACTGGTGTGCATGAAGTTACTGTTGGATGTGGTTTCTTTGGTCTAACTGCCTGAAATGCCAAAAAATTTTAATCAAAAAGTTTATTTTTGCGTCTCTCAAATGTCTGTAAAATTGTAAATTTTTTCTTGTTCACTGTTGTTCAAAGCATATAATTAAAACCAAGGTTAGTTTTTGGAAACAGGCTGTGATAGTGTTTTTATTTGTTAATTTAATCCTTTTTGGGGGTTAGTCCAGGACTCTTCTTCAAATGACATATCATTATATTACCTTAATAAGAAGAAGACATTATGCAGTCATATTTTGGGTTAAATAAATGACTCCTCTTGGTATTTAGGAAAAACATTTTTATAAAATCCTAAACTAAATTTTGTCTTATTTTAAGTGTTCTGTGATATTCCTACTAGAAACTAGACAAACACTTGGTAAGATTTTGTGGGGGTTGGTTTGCAGTGCACCGCTGCTGCAGCATGCCAGAGGATTGATTTGGAGCCACCTTTAAAGATGCAACAGATTCTTCATGTTGGCCATCATTTTGTCTGGGAAAATCCAGAAGCACAGTGTAACTCAGACAAACTGCGTGTGTTACAAATGAGGTTAGATCCAGGAATCTGAGCTACGGCTGTTAAATATCACCCTGTCCCAAAAAAATCTATATTCCTATCATTACTCAGCCACTCAAATCATCTCTAACTGTAGGAGTCAACGCTCACTGACATCCGGGTTTCTTGTCATTTATTGTGCTCCAGTTATTAGTCCTGCCAGTCACTCCAGAGTGTGAAAAGCAGCGTGCTCCACAGATTTCCAATCATAAATCCACACTCATCGCTTCCTGCAGCTGTTTGATATGAATATTCAAATTAGCACACGTCCTGAATCTGCCCACGCTTTTTTACCCCCCCTCCAGATCCGCGCCCCCCTCTTTTCCTCCGCCGATTCCACCAGGGACCGTGTCGTCCTCTCTCCGTCTCCTCCTGCACGGAGGCTAAAAATAGCTCGGCGTGATGTCAAAAGCAGAGGCGGGCCGCCGGCTGAGCGACGAATGTGTGAAAAGGGGGAAAGCAGGAAGGCTGTTTAATTGAGCCGCACACTTTTCTCGACAGTTAATGGCCTCAGGATGGGCAGAGAACAGCTATAGGAGAAGAAGAAGAAGAAGAAGAAGTGGCTGTTTCCTGCGAGTCGTCCCCAGCAAATTTCAGATTAAATGCAACAGAGTAGAATAGTCCTTTATTGTCCCTGAGAGGAGAAGTAAAAGTGACAAAGTGGCAGTCAAATTGAAACCTGCAGACACACATAAAAATGAAATGTTCTGAGGAAGAACTAGATGTGATAAATTACAGATGCAAACTCTTCAACTTTTGCTCCAATCACTGACTTTGTTGCTTGCGCTATGATTACAACATCGGCTCTTTAAAAGGTTTCACTCATTAGCATTAGCGTTAGCCTGAAGCTTTGCAGCTATGTTCAGGCTTTATTTAATCGTTTATTGGTCGATATTTTCTACTCCGTGTGTGGAGTTGAGTACAACAATCATAGCGTTTTTCTTCAATGTAGCTTCCAGCATTTACAGAACTGAATGCATGAATTCATAGATGGATGGAGACGTGTTTACTAAACGTCGCCAGGCAACAACGCAACGCTCTACTTTTACATTACTTCAAGTCTGTTCGACATAAATAAGTGAAATGCAGTGAAATAAGTAGAAAACTGAGAAAAGTTTTTCCTTTATCCAAATTTCTCTCTGGTATTCAACAGTCATACTTTAGTCAACTTGGAAACTCTTTGGCGTAATAATGACGACATCAAAAGTTGAAAACAAGTTTTCCTGACGTCAGCAAGCTTGTTTTTATGGGTCCTCAAAAACATGTGGATCCAAAATAATGGGGTCCAACAAAGGGCGCTGCAGCGAAAGCTCTGATCTCTCAGACGGGGTTTCAGAGGTCGCCTCTTTCCAACCAATGTTCTTTCTCTGCATCTGGGTCAGGATGGAGCACTGGTTTAAAAAAAATAGTAATAAAAAATTTGTTGGCCTACATATATTCATTCCCTGATATCCGGCAACACTACTCAACACAGCCTTGAAAGAAAAGCGATGTAGATGTTAGCTTACATATGAAACGTAATTGCATGTTGAGGAAATAAACGTAAATCATCTGATTCACACATATTTTTGGCCAATTTATTGAAAACTGGTGTTGCTCCATGTGAAAAAATGCCATTAAAATATCAACACTTGCTTATAAATTAATTGCAGTGACATTAATGAAAGTTCTACTTGACATAATTGTGGAGATTAACAAAGGAAAACGATTTCTTTTTCACTTTTTATCTGAACTACAGTCGTACTCGGAAAGCTTGAACATCACTGAAAAGTTTATTTTTTTCAGTGAAACATTAAATACATTAATTCCACACAGGCTGTTGTTTTCAAGCCTTCATTCTCATTTATTAGGATTTTATGCTCACATTTAATTTTCTCAAAAATTAGAATATTACATCAAGAAAAAACTGTTTCATCGTGGAAATGTTTGACTGCCCCTGCAAGAAAAATAAATACAAGCGCTCAATCTCTTTAAAGCAATAAGGTTTCTCATTATAACAAGGTATAAAACTCCTCGTAATGAGATTCCGCTCCTGTATTTATTTCCTAGCTGTGGCAGGTAAACACTTTCATAATTCATACCTGCATGGAGGGGTTCAAATAGTACCTTTAATCTGTCAGATGAGCCTCATCAGAATTCATAATACCGTTGATAGCATGCAGTTATTTTTTAATTGTTTGTTATGATGAAAAGATATAAAAAAAATAAGCAGAAGATAAATCCCTAAAGAAGAATCAAAGTTAAAGTATCAGATCAATTACCTCCTTTGCCAAGTCATATTCCCGTTTTGTCCGTTTTTTTGCTTCAAACCCAAAGTAAAAAATGTTTTATTAGAGATTCAATCATATATTTTCTTGAGTTATATGATGTTTTATTTCTGTTTTGTCGTGTCTGGGTGGTTTTGGTTTCTCTTCATTTTTACTTTCCTTATCTGTGGTCCTCCATGCCGTCGCGTTCTCTCACTCTCTCTCTCCCTCAGCCTGCCCTTTGCTCTCCCCTCTCAGCTGCTCCCTGTTTGTAATTCGACTCACTGCATTGTTGCAGTGATCAAGCTTCCAGTTTTTAACCTGCTGTCTCCTTCGTGGTTCTTGTCCGTTTCTGCTGAAAGTCTGTCCCTTATTTTTGTAAACTCTTATTTAATTATGTTTTCCCCCAAAATATTTCATCATCTACTCATTGCCTCTGCCTCTGTTCCACACCTCGGGTCCAAAAACCACAGAAAATCATCAGTTTATTTACATTTTGATCCCCGTTTGAGCCATGAATATGAAAAAAAAAAACTGGCAGGAAATCAAACAGTTTCTTCTGGTGTCATTGGAGATAATGACAGGAAGGCACATTTCATTCTAACCTGCCCGCCCCAGAGTCCTCGCTCATACACGAAGCTGTGGCTAACTGTAAAATGCTTTTTAAAAAAATCAAAGCATTTCATCGTCTCGTTTTGGTCAATAAGACGTATTTTAAGCAATCAGCACCGTTAGACAAGCTGGTGTCTTTACTTTATGGCAGTCATTTTTACACGCAAGCAAAGCCTGACAACACAACAGACATTTGACAATAATGAAGACAGATAAAGAGCACAAAGCATATCCTGGTAATCCTGACCATTTCTTTATTTATTATTTCTCAGTCATATCACAAACAATGAGAGAAAGAAAAGTCTTTTCAGTGACTCTGTGCCGCTCGTGTGATTCAAGCCCGTGTTTGAGCCGCTACCTGTCGATCTCCTCCAGATCAGATCTAATCATTTTCGAACGTCACTCCTCTGCTTCCATCTGATTGCCCCTCAGCGCATCCTCCCACATCTTTCCCGCTTCCCTTGTAATTTCCTCTTCAGTGGTTAAAACCAGCAGCTCATTAGCCTGCTACGCTAACGAGCCACGGATTCCTTCTTTGTGTTGTGTCCAGTGTCAACGGTTGCCAATCGCTACAATTCAAAATCTAAAAAAAAAACATTTTTCCAGGTCTTTGCCGGCCTCCATATTTTGATACTCTTGCTGGATGCTAATTATTATTATTATATTCTTTTTTTTTTTCAGAAAACATGAAAGCAGAAGGTGTTATCATCATAAAAGCTGAGCTCTGCCTCTCATTTCCTAAAGCTGGCACCTGGCAAAGGATCATTACTGCACACACCAGCGTAATGGTGCTACTCAGCATCCAGCCTGACATTAAAAGCCACAGACGAGTCAAAGGTTTGTGAAAATCCTTCGCGCGCTGCTACGCAGGCACACAGGTTTGCTTTTGGCTCGATACCTTTCAAGAGTGGAAACCAAATTAGAGAGCAAAGCCGAAAGGTACATCTTGTCCAGACAACTTACATAAAAGAGGAACGACCTGGGGTTGGAGTGATAGCTTAACTTTGTGTCGTTCAACCCAGAAGAATTCTTTTTAACCAAAAAAAAAAATCCAGTTACCTTTGGTAAAAAAAAAAAAAACAACAACAACAAAACATTATTTTAAGGGTGGTGACTCATCACTAAATTCAGCTGTGTTACCCATCATGTGCCAAAAGCACAACATATGTTTACAACATGTTATATAATCCTTAAGAGGGTTAAATGTGTTATTGGACACCCAGTTGTACGTTTGTGCTTCAGGAAGTGATTTTACTTTTGAACAGACTTTGTTGAGTGTTGCTAACTCTGTTGCTGATCAGACAACAGAAGTAAGAATTCTGGACAGTCTGCAACCAAATCGTCAACAAAGACGTCAACCTTTATTCAACTGAAAGTTTACAAAACAGGCAAATAAATTAGCACCTCAGAAATATTCACTTATGGGAATCGAACGTTTAGCTTCGCTATAAGCGTATCAGCGGAAATGTGTTCTGTGAGCACATTTATTTCACACACTTCATTTCAACACTTATGCTGTTAAAATCCAAACTGTTGGCCTGGAGATGGACTTTATTTTGTGCATTTTTACACGATAACAAGCGACCAGCTCAAGAAGATGCAAAACTGGCTGCAACGAAGCTGCTGATATGCGTTATGAGCTGATAGAAAAGCACACAGGGTGTTTTGGATCTGCTCCTGGAGCTCCAACCTGCGATATCATCAACTCTGTCACC